AGGCATTTGGCTACTTTAAGAGAGTCATAGTTACTCCCGCCGTTTACCCGCGCTTGGTTGAACTTCCTCAGAGCACTGGGCACTACCTTCACTTCAACCTCTTTCCAACTTTACAGTCACAACTTCCTCCTCTCCACCACCAATGCCATCAACACCAACTATTTCCTCTCTCTCCATCACACTTTACAGTTTTTGTTCTTTCCACTTATTCTACAACTTATTTTACTCTTTAATAATTGTTGCTGATTTATTTTTAATCGGATGTTTACCTCTGAACCGTCTCCTTGTTTTATATAATCGGACATTTTGATATTTTCGCCTTATACGGACCTCGCCTTATCAGCTAGAATGTAAGGAAGCACTTTTGGGACTTAGATTCGCCGCACTTTATAGTTTTGGTACGGGATTTTTTTAAAAAAGATTACATTTTTATGCAGCATTAGGCACTTATTTGAATCGGGACAATTCTCATAGGCAGAAAAAAGTGTAGCATTTACGGAAGGGAAAATTTATGCATCCTCATACGGTTCGTGGTTTGGTGCAAACTACTCTCAAGTGCTGTCGTCCATTGTGTGGAAGAGGTGGTTTGTGGAGGTAGTGTGCTTGTTTAGCCTGCACTTTAGACTCAAAGTGCTTGTCTAGAGAGCGTATGAAACGGTGCTATTGTAAATATTTGGTACAAATGCTTACAGTCGCTAACACCTTCTGAAAAAATGTGGTCAACTTGTGACACATTGAAGCAACAACAGACGATTATATGACCTCAGCCGACAGAAAGAGACCAAGTAAAGCCGTGGGAAAGTCAGTGTCCTAGAAGAAGTCTTACGTCTGCAAAGGACTTACGTTCAGTACCCAACTCGCCCTTAGGAAGGATGTATACGAGTTTAAGTGTCCAAACACCTATCAGCCGAGCAGAATGGCAACTCATGCAGAATATTCGCGTTAGCATAGAACGTTTGTGACCAAAAAAGGCAGCTAGTGGAAAACAACCTCAAATGGCAAAAGTGCGATTACAGAATTGTTCCTCTAAAGCCTCTAGTAATAGGCGACCCACTTGTAGAGTCCATTCAAACAAATCCTATCGCAGGAAATGTTTCACTACACTTTACTGTCCTGGCAGAAGTGGTGAATTTTTAACTACCGAAGCCGTGCTAGATAAGCATTAGAGGTAGCAATAGTGCTTGCCAAAATCGAACTCCATACTCTATAACTGCCGTGAGATTAAAGGAACTCAAATCGCGACACCTCGGAGCTACAGTCCTTTACACTAAGGGGAACAACCTTTACAACCGCCACATTCGTCACCACGTCACCGGGACATCAGAACCACCAAGTGACGCGTAAAAATATCCATAACGTAACACCTAGAACCCGCCAACCCCTCGACGAGCCGCGCCTTAAGAGAAGTAACAACGTCCAACCACTTGTACGCCAATGGCTCTCTGACATCCCTCACCCTCAACAGCCACAGCCATCAATGAGCTTACCCCACGAACAAAACGAGTGAATACCGAAACAACCCAGTTTGGGCTCACAGTGGCCCTAAACAGGGCCGTTGGAGCGTTCACCATGCCTGCCATCGTTTCCCAACCTTTCACATATGCATAACGTAGGCTTAGCCGCCAAAGCCATAAAGGGTACGGCCCTGGCGTTTCAGAGCATAAACCACGTCCATGGCGGTCACAGTCTTGCGCTTTGCGTGCTCAGTGTACGTAACGGCGTCACGAATGACGTTTTCCAAGAACACCTTCAGCACTCCTCGAGTCTCCTCGTAGATCAAACCCGAGATCCGCTTTACTCCGCCACGGCGCGCTAAACGTCGAATGGCGGGTTTTGTGATGCCCTGAATGTTGTCACGCAGCACCTTCCTGTGACGCTTAGCGCCTCCTTTCCCGAGTCCTTTGCCACCTTTACCACGACCCGACATTGTTCAACTTCGCAAACGAAACAGGATAACCACGACGAGAAACAAAGCAGAGAACAAGCTCCGAGAACGACTGAATGCCGTTAACAGGCTACCTTATATATAAATCTGTCTGCGAAAGTGGGCACTGCTTTAGCCAATCATTTAATGAAATCCATTGGTTCAAACAAATTTAAAAAATTGTAATTTTATTAATTTTAGCATAACTTGATACACAATTTACAGCTTTAGCTAATCTCATATTTCACCGAAGTTATTTTGTTTATTGGCACTACAGACATAGATATGCAAAGTGAATGTGTAGCAAAAGATCATGCAAAGGCATATCAGTATCTAATAGCCCTATTTTGGCTCTGCGTCTAGAAACAATTAATATTCGAAACCGGAATATAATACGCTACGTCGGTAGGTTATTTTTCAGCGGAGCAAATTGCAGAGTTAATTCCGGAAATAAGATTTCCTTTAAGTGAGGGAATTAAGTAGTTTAAAAAAGTGCAAAATTCGTGTATCCAGCACTTCGTCGCACAAATTTAATTTTCCGTAAATAGATTGCTATTGCACAGGGAGCTTGGTTTCTTCAAGGTTTGGTTAATTCAGGTGCGGATGACTGAGCCCTACATTGCCATGATGACTGGGGAAGCCAATAGCTAATGCTGTTAAAATCAATGCGATAATGAGAATTGTGAATTCGCGAAGCTAATAATGCGTGTATATTAGTGCGACAAACGAGGAATTGGGCAGCCGACGGTAAATGAGTCAAAGTTTAGTGCATTATACAGGCATAATGCTTAAATACTTGAAAGGAATCAGTTGACCTATAATGCAAAATGTGGTTTCGGAAGCGTTTTTGTTTGGAGGAATAAATTTGTTCTCGATCTTTAATCGGAACATTCCGAAATGCGCACTAATGTACTGTAGAACCAACCTGCCTACTCTCAGGCCCCTGAACCTCAGACTTCGAAAGAAGGTTAGTTGTAGAAACTCTATTCGGTATCGTGTACAGAAGGAAAGGAAAAAGTAAGGGCAGAGGAGATGGAAAGCGTATGTCAGCGTGGAAAGGATTCTTTACACTCCTCATGCACTAGATTGGTGCTCGATTCGATTTCCTGCCTTTCCATGAAAAAGATAAATTACAACGCTGTAGTACATATTACATTTACCTCTGCAAAGTAAACGGAGGAAATTCATTGTATAAAGCCGATTGCTCTTAAGCCTCTCAAAGCATCACCACCATGTTCTCCCCCATCTTATGGTGTTTATGCATTCGCGTTACTTTCCCTCTCATTTTGCACCCTTGTTAATTCCATCAATCATACTTCATAGCGTCATTAATGACTTCCATTCTACAACCCCATTTCCACTTCCCCGTTCAATTTCTCTATGCCTTTGGGCCTTCTTGCTCGCATCTTTGCCATCCTCCTTCATTCTTTCACACTATCCATTCTTGATACAATTTTTTTTCACTAAGCCCATCTTTTTCTCTGCTCTTTTCGTTTCAGTTTCTCACTTAGTGCAACCCCTCTTCTACTTTCCCTACTTGCACCTCCTAACTTCAAGTCCTTTCTCTAATCTCGAAACTTGCCTCTCGAGTGCTACCTCTTTTCTCGTCAAAGTGCCTACTTCTAGATATCACCTTACCAAATTTCCACCCGTCCTCGCATGACATCCTCCCATGTTGTTGCTCACTTTCCAAGTCAGTTTGAAAACTACCTTTTGTGTAGTCAACAACACCAATCCGTGTTAAGTAGTCGTAAACTCTGAACTTCTGAATAGAAGGGCGATTTGATCTCCGTTCCATGTCCTTCATTTAAAAGCAAACTTGTCAACTACCCTAGTCAACTGAGTGTAAAGCAAGGAGAAGGAAGGAGGAATGAAGCCGATCTTAAAAAGCCTCTGCTAGGGACTCGTACCGCTGGTTTATAGAACACTTCGTAGTAGCATATGCGCGTATGATGGAAAGAAAATAAAAATAGCGTCTAGCTTTGACTTCTACTCAAGAACCGTGTTCCAAACAAGCTAATAACAGTGCCAGGGAAAGGCAAATTTCCTTGGCGGATTTGCACAACCTACTTACAAGGTGAACGACTGAATTTCCTGTCAATTCCCTACAGCTTGCATGGTATCCACATCGATGAGACTGATCAGCCGCGGTAA